CTACATCCAAGGATCTTTCCACACAAAACTCTTGATCTCTGTTGGTATTCTGGACGAGAAACATCTGCTCATCCGTTTTGAATCTGAAGAAGACTTCATATCTGTATGGTTAAAGGAGTTTTGCTACATAGAAGGACAACTAGTAAGGTTTATTAAGTGGACGCCTCTTTTCCAGGCAGGTTTTGAACCTACAGTTGTTCCTATATGGATATCTCTTCCAGGCTTACCAATAAATCTTTTTAATCCCAGAGATCTCAAAGCTATAGGAAACATAGTTGGAAGAGTATTGAAAGTAGATGAACCCAACCCAAACACTGTCCAGACCTAGCGTGGCTCTTCTGTGTGTTGAAATTGATGTAAAAACATACAAAGTTGAGAGGTTTTGGTTGGGTTTAGGCACAGCTGGGCGATGGCAGCACATAAAATATGAAAAGGAACCCATATTATGTGATAAATGTCATAAGATTGGCCACAATTGTAGAAAGGGAGGAAAAAAATCTGGTATTGGGTCTGTTAAGAAGAAACCGAAAGGCATAGAGACAGAGGGGATACGTATACAGATCCTAATGCTTAGGAATCAACAACCCGATGGGTTGAGAAAACTTTTGGAAGCAGCAAACAACATGAGCCAAAGGAACTAGACAAGCAGACCGTGCTACTGAATACTACTGTAGCTGGAAAAGATGAAGAAGGAAAACACTCCAACTGGGAAGGGGAAAAGTCCAACTGTAATCCTACAGATTTGATCTTGATTTCAGAATCATGCAAGAAAGTTCAATCAACAGAAGATATTATACAGCTTGGAGTATTTATAGAAGGAGACAATCAGGAGTTAGAGATGCACGAGATTAGTAAATCTACAGAAGAACAAGCTGGTATGGAGATTGAGGATACTCAATCTGAAAAAAGGGAGATGGAAGAGGAAGAAGGCTGTCAAGAAGATTTTCTAGATTCCGGTAAGGAGTTGGATATAGGGGTGCATCAAAAAAGCTGTGGATTGATGGATGATGATTATCACGATGATGATCATCATGAATTACTGGAAGCTCTCCAATTAGCAAAACCAAAAGTTAAGTATAGTCAAAGGAGAGATCAAAATAAAAAGTTTAATTTTATGATGGATGAAGGCAGCCAATCGGATATTAAAAAGGGGAGAGAAAAAACCTCTCTCAATAGGGAGGAATTCATTCACAGTTGCAAAACTTTCTCCAAGAGAATTGTGGGATCGGTATGGTTGAGAAATTATTCAGAAAAACAACTGGACAAAGACACAGAAGGTAGCACTCTAAACACAGTGGGAAGAGTGACTCGATCAAAATCGAGAGCGGGTGTGCAAGGGGTAATCCAAAAGGTACCTAATGATTAAGGCAATCATATGGAATATAAGAGGGGCGGGAAACTCAAACTCCCGCAGGAGGCTCAAATCAGTGGTGATGGAAAGTAAAATTCAGATTGTTGCGTTACTTGATCCAAAGAAGAATCTGAAATTCTTAGAAACATGCGGTAAAGAATGGGGTTTTAAAAACTATGCAGTTAACGAGGGGGATGATAGTAGAATTTGGATATATTGGAAAGAAGAAATCATGGTTCAGTCTATTCAAAGATCTTCGCAATGCATTACTATTTTGTTGAATATCAGGGGGGGTGGTCAGCTTCGTTTATCATTCATTTATGCTTTCTGTGGAAAAGTAGATAGAAGAGCTCTATGGGAAGACTTGAGAATTTTGAGTTCTGATTTTTTGACTCCCTGGATGATAGGGGGGGACTTTAATGTTATTCGTCATACTGGAGAAAAAAAAAGGGGGAGAACTCCTGATATAAATGCTATCGATGAGTTTAATGACATGATTGCTCACTGTGGTCTCATAGATGGGGAATTTCTTGGAAACCGGTTTACTTGGTGCAATGATAGAGTTAGAGCTCACTGCATATGGGCAAGATTGGATAGGGTTCTATACAACTCAGCCTGCCTTTCGGCATTTCCTCAAACTACTATTACTCATCTTCCCAGAAGCCCTTCAGATCATGCTCCCCTTCTAATAACGGCGGCAAACAAGTTGAAAGGAAGCCCTTCTGCTTTCAAATTTCAAAACATGTGGGTCAAAGATGAAGGATTCCTTGATGTTGTTAAGGAGGCGTGGACTACTGCTATAACAGGTAACCCTATAATGTCTTTCTTTTTGAAGCTTAAACATCTAAAATCTGTTTTAGCTAGTTGGAACAAGAACAATTTTGGTAATATTTTTGCTTAACTGAGAGCTTGTGAAAGTCAGGTGGAAGAATTAGAAAACCAAATTCAATTAAACTGGTCTGAAGAATGTCAACAGGACTTAAGTAAAGCAAAGATCGATCTTAAAAAGTTTCTTGATTACGAGGAAATTTTCTGGAAACAAAAATCTAGAGAACACTGGCTAAAAGAAGGGGACAAGAATACCAAATACTTCCATGCAGTTTACCAAAACAATCGTAAAAAGAATACGATTCAGGCTATTCAAGATGAAAAGGGGAACTTGTATTCTCAAGAGGATGAGATGGGTGCTGAAGCGATTAAATTTTTTCAAAAAATATTACAATCTGAACATATGGTTCTAGGTAATATTATAGAGGAGAATATTCCGCTTTTGGTTTCAGATGAAGAAAACAAAAAGATTTGTAAAATGCCGGATGTCACTGAAATTCGCACTGTGGTTTTTGATATGTCGGTCTCTGGTGCTCCAGGTCCAGATGGGTTTTCAGGTATGTTTTTTCAACATTGTTGGGAAATTATCAAAGTTGACTTGGTTGCTGCAATTCAGTATTTCTTCGAGTATGGGTTTATTCCAAGAGCTATTAATGCAACGTTGCTTTGTCTTATTGCTAAAGTTGAGAATCCGAAGACCTTTGTTGATTTCAGACCGATTAGTTTATGTAATGTTTTTTATAAAATCATTGCAAAAGTGATTGCTACTCGGCTAGGTATGCTCCTTCCCAAGTTAATTGCTGAAGAACAGTCTTCTTTTGTTAAAGGGAGAAATATAATTGATAATATTTCCATGGCTCAAGATCTAGCTACGAATATAAACAGGAAAGTAAGAGGTGGGAATGTGATTTTCAAATTGGATATGGCTAAAGCATACGATAGACTTGAGTGAGACTTTCTTATTCGAGTTCTGCAGAGATTTGGGTTTAATGATAAAGTGTTGAAGCTCATAAAAGGGTGTATTATTTCTCCATTTTTCTCAGTTATCTTGAACGGTAGAATGCAAGGATTTTTTCAGTCCTCCCGGGGTCTGAGACAAGGGGATCCTCTTTCCCCAGCTTTGTTCATATTGGCAGAAGAGGTTCTGAGCAGAGGTTTGAAGAAGATTTTCCAAACAAGCAAAGTTGGTTATTTTAGAACATCCAGAAATGCCATCCCTATATCTCATTTGTTGT